GATACTCAGCTCTGTGCTATTAGCACTGAAAGTTCTGTCACAGATTCTATAGACACACCAGATACTCAGATCTGTGCTATTAGCACTGAAAGTTCTGTCACAGATTCTATAAACCCACCAGATACTGAGCTATGTGGTCTTAACTCAAACAGTGAACCAAAGAAAACACTGAGGCCATGGGTGCAATGGATTTTCTGGTAGTGCATCTCTGAAAACCCTTGCTGTCAGCTGGATCCTAACGTATTTATAAAGGAGGAAGGACAGAAGGGAATGGCTGCGACAAAAGTCCTGGTGAATCTAGAGTCTGTGGCCAGGCTGGTAGGGGGTGGGGGTGGGGAGACATATGTATGCACTGTGTCAGGTCATTATTACCGTCTCCCAGTGTCCTCTTCAGCAGGTCGTGCTTGGCCTGCAGCTTGGAGATGAGATTGCTGCCCTCCAGGTACTCCCGGAATTTCTGTGAAAAAAAAAAAAAACAAATTTGGAGTTAATTACGCTCCCTGATTAAGACAGCAAGTGATGGTGGGGCTCTCTGTCACCAATTCACTGCTGAGCGGCTGAAGGACAAACGAGGTGGGGGCGGGATCAGCGACAGCCGACTCCACACAGCGTATTTCCACCTCTCGCAGAGCCGGCCTCCCACTGCGCTACTGCAGAATCCGCAGAACACAAAACCTTCCTCCAACTCATCTACTGCGCCGTTTCTACGGCGATGTTTTGCATCCATATATATTGTAGCCCCAATGCGCTCCGCATTTCTGCTATCAATTTTTCAGACATGCATGCGTTTCCCACGCAGCAGACAACACCGTGACACTGCTATACATCAATCACGGCCGGGATGTTTGCACTCGCAAAGCTCTGCCAGTGTAAAGACATCTCTATGCTCAAAGTCTAACATAGCAGAAGCATCACTGATAACACTGGCTGAGGCTCAGAAAAAACATCTTTACACACAACTGTGAATTTTACCCAGTGCCTGTACCGCGGTTTTTAACTCTGGTGCTGGAGTAAGGTGTGCTGGATCAGAATCTAATTTAGACCTATGAAAGCAAGCAAGGTGAGTTAACTGTGTAATGTACCTTGGTAAGTGATTATGTTCTGAGTATAGGTGCGATATTTCATTGGTATACCTGAGTCCAGGTGTTGGGATAAACACACTTCATGCGATGCATTTGATGCCTATATTCAATTTCACCTCTCGTTAATATACGTAAATCTCTGAGAAGCAGAGCTACGGTGCATTTTGCAGGAGGTGCCTGCAGGGGGCGCTCACCATGAAGTAGAACTGCTCGGTCTCCTGCTGGTTGGCCCTCCTCTTGGCGATGCTGGGCTTGCTGAGGTAGGTCTCAGACACCGTGGACTTGACCGACTCGGTGGAACGGCTGTGGTGGAAGCATTCGGACACGTCGTAGTCCTCGATGGTCACCATGTCCTGCAGTGTGGTCAGTGTGGCCTCGGAGGTCTTCTTCACCTGAGAGACCATGGAGAGGGAAACGTTAGGAAAGGTGCATGACTGGAGTGTGCAAGGTCATTAATGATGTCACAATGGGCTAGTGGAACACTACCAAGGTGCATTATGTGTGTGTCCCTGGCTATTACTGATGTCACAATAGGTTAACAGAACATTACCAAGGTGTGCTATGTGTGTGTCCCCAGCTATTAACGATGTCACAATGGGTAAATGGTGAGGGGGAATGTTACACAAATTCCTTTGTGTACAGATATGCCAAAACCTGTCACGCTGTTTCACAATAGTGTGAGCTTCCCAGATTTGTCAGACTTGAGCAAACATTGCCAGGAGACAGTGACAGAAGTTAAGAAGTTCATAAGTCATGAGAGAAAATTTTCTGTGAAATAATAAACAGTGATTTTGCTCTTCAACCTATAATTAATATTTGTTGTTCTATACTCCAGCATAGTACTGAGTGCTTTATGGCAGGTATACAGAACAAACAATCACTCTGTACTGCAAAAAGTCCATAGGATGTCATAGTTAACCTTGCTTGCAAACCTTAAATTCTCTGATGAATCCAAAGGTTCACTACCAGTGCCTCTATTCCCTTTAACAATGTCACAATAGCAACTGTCTGCCTATCAACATCTAGCCTTATTGGGGCTACTTAATTTGCGTTACCCAAACAAACACAGGACACAACACAAAACAGTCAGTTAACCCATCACCGAGAGACCACACGCACATACACCATTTCACAGGGGAGGAGTGGACAGAGAAAGCAGGTGTGTGTGTGTGTGTGTGTGTGTGTGTGTGTGTGTGTGTGAGAGAGAGCTCACATGATGCAGAGGCCTGTGTGTGTGTGTGTGTGTGTGTGAGAGAGCTCACGTGATGCAGAGGCCTGTGTGTGTGTGTGTGTGTGTGTGTGCACCTGCCGTGCTGAGGCAGGTGCTAGGTCTCAGGGTGGGGTGCGAGAGAGGGGGCAGCGGGGTGGAAAGGTACCCAGTGTTGGCAGGGCGCTCACCCAGAAATCCCCACAGTCAC